CTTGGCAAGCTACGTCAACGAAGGCTCTGCCATTTCTCTTTGGAATGTTGGCAGGAGAGCTGCCAAATCCGTTGATTAGAAAGGGGTGTTACAGGAACACCCCCATTTCTTGAAGCAACTACTAAGCTAAACCTTGAGCGTTGTAGCTTCCCCCCTTTTGCCACAATTTAGGCTGGCAATGCCTGGTAATCAAGGGAGTGTTAGGTTATCCGGCAAGCGTTGGCTTAGCCTGGCTCAGCAAGGAAGCGAGGGATTTGGTTCCCGAGCGAGCCTGCCTCGTATCCTGCGGTTTCCAGCTTTTTCTTCGGTTGACCGAGCTAGCCAAATCGGCTCGCCTCCGTCGGCAAGGATTGCCTTGCCTAACGAGGTAAGCTGGCAAGCGATCCAAACGCTCCCTTATATTTTGCCTTTCAAGCAGCTATTACTAATGGGAAATCCCAAATGCTCCCCCACAAAAAGCAATAATAGGAGTAAAGACCAAATGCTGACATGCTTAGGATGATTTAGTCAAAAAACAGTAATGTGGATGGTGTATTTTTCATAGTTGTCATAGACACAAAGGAAAATTCCCCATGTGGTTGGGCTCAATGGAAATTTTCCTCTGGGGCTGCATAGTGGTCCATAGGAAAAGTTGTTATGTAAGCCCTGTAGAATAAATTCTTTAGGAGCATAATCCTCCAAAATTCATATTAAAGTTCTTGGAATCAAAGACATCCAAGTTATTGTTGAAGGACCAACGAACAGTTCAAACCCATACTTCAATAGTTCCTCGAGACGAAATTTTGTGGTAAGGAATCAAGTCACAAACGTCTTTTTTCTTTCGGTGCAACATGCTTTATCTGCACTTGTCCTTACCATGCATATCACCTCACTTTCCAAACTACAGCATAATTATGTCAACTAGAAAAATGGTTGGGGGTGATTTGCCTTTCAGCTTACCTAACAACACATATGAGTAATGTATAGTTGATTGGGTTGTTCTTACTGCTTACCTGCACGTTCACTAAACATAAGGCACTTATATGTCATGTCAAAGGATGATTTAGTATGCACAACTTGCCAACTAATACTTTTATATGCAGGAAAGTCAATATAAGGCTTTGAAAATCTGTGGTTCTCAAACTTGACTCCTCCTTAACCAGTAATCTGAAACTAGAGGAGTTTGTGGCGCACGATGCTGAAGTGAGGTCCTTGGCCATCGGCAAGAAGTCGAGCCGTGTGTTCATTACTGGTGGCAGTGACCGCAACGTCAACCTGTGGGCAATTGGCAAGCAGACTCCTCTCCTGGTTTGTGCCCTATGACATTATGAGCATGATACTACAGTTCTCTTTGGCTATTTGATAATTTGACTCATGTTGTGTTCTTCAATGGGCGTCTGTTGTTTGCACAGAGCTTGTCAGGCCACACAAGCTCGGTTGAGGCTGTAGAGTTTGATACAGCAGAGGTGCTTGTGCTTGCTGGCTCATCAAATGGCTCCATCAAGCTCTGGGACTTGGAAGAAGCTAAAGGTGTGGTTAGTGCTTATATAAAGCCCCCAGAAGAGGGTTATATCTACTGTCTTTCTTTTTCCTTTAAATTGTCTGTTCATTGTAACCAGCTTTTGAGCATGGAAATTGCATTATATGGTATCTTGTGTGTTCATCACAAAAATTATATATTTCAGAGTGGGTGAGTTTGAATTGCTGAGTGCCTTGACTTTATATGTAGTAATATAGACGCAAGAATCGTTGAAATCTTTGTCAAATGTCTTTGGTGATCATACGAAACATGAGTACACTATGAATTTCTCAGCTGAGCTAATGTTCTCAATAGCAGCTGAAAGCATAAGGTCTTTTGGGAGGGTGTTTTCATAACATTAGTGCTTGTCTTGGTAGACTGTAAACTATGCTTTTGCTGAAAGTAGATGTCTGGTTGTTGTTTTGAATTGAAATGCAGTTGTGCGGTCTCTCACTGGGCATAGGTCAAGTTGCACTGCTGTTGAATTCCATCCATTCGGCGAATTTTTTGCATCTGGTTCTTCAGATACAGATCTCAAGATCTGGGATATAAAGAAAAAAGGATGCCTTCATACATACAAGGGTCACAGAGGAGCAATTAAATCAATCCGATTTACACCTGATGGGCGATGGATCGTCACCGGTGGAGAAGATAACATTGTGAAGGTGTGGGATCTGACAGCTGGAAAGCTCTTACATGATTTCAAGTTCCACAGTGGACAAATCCGATGCATTGATTTTCATCCTCAAGAATTTTTGCTTGCAACAGGTACTGACTTTTCCTTCCAAATGTTAGAAGTGTTAAGATTTTTGAGAGAGCATATTTTGTTTTTGTAATGCAACATAAATCATCAAGAATTGTTTATTGTTTAGTATGATCTAAGAACAAGTTCTAATTGTCCGAGGAATCCCATTTTAATTGTGTAATATAGTTAGAAACATCTTTTTGGCTTGGAAAAATGTGTGTTGTTAGACTAACTATAACTACTGAAGTTTTACTGTTTTAGAAAGCTGAAGTATATTCTCAGTCTGTTTACTGTTATTTTCCAGGCTCAGCTGATCGAACTGTGAAGTTTTGGGATCTTGAGACTTTTGAATTGATAGGTTCTGCCGGACCCGAGGTACTTGCAAGTGATTTTCTTATACCATTTCATTTTTGTGCAAGTCGAACATTGTCAATTGTTAAACCATAAAGGCATAAGCTACGAATCCTCAATTACGTTGTATGCAATATGCATGGTATCCAAATACAGTAGTTGCTCACTGCGGCTGATATTTCTGCATCTATTTCTTTTTTTCTTTTCAAATTGGCACCATAGGAATTCCTTGAAACAAGTTTGAGGAAAATATATTGTATTCCATTTTAAGTACTTGAAAAGGTTGATGATGCCCCTTCTCACATTTCTCTGTGATTGATTGTTTGAGTTATTTTCAGTGATGCTTTTATATATATACTGAAGTTGCTTACTGCTCTTCTGCATTTGTTTTTGTTCCTGTATTAAAACGTGCATGGTGAGCGCACATTCACCTTCCTGTTATGATAGATTTATTTACTTTACAAGCATCTTTTATTCCAGGATACTGGTGTACGTTCTATGGTCTTTCACCCAGATGGAAAAACCCTTTTCTGCGGATTAGAGCAAAGCTTAAAGGTAGGTCTGATTTTCATGTGTTCTATTGATATTCCTTGCATGGCATTTGCTGACTACATGGACATCTTCAGGTATTCTCTTGGGAACCAGTAAGATGCCATGATGCTGTTGACATGCGATGGAACAATTTAGCTGACCTTAGTATTTACGAAGGAAAACTGTTGGGATGCTCGTACCATGAACGCCGTGTTGGTGTTTGGGTTGCTGATATATCAGTGAGTGTCATTCTTTGCATGTAATATGTACCTTTGTTTGTATGTCCTAACTTTTATCTTTTGACCCAGCTCATTGAACCCTATGCTCTTGGTGTTTTGCCGAAAGCAAATTTTTTTGCTGAGCTTGTGGATTCTGTGGATGATAATCCTGTGAAACCGAATGGTAGCACTACGAAGCCCATTCGTGCTGTAGCAACATCACATCCAAAAAACATGTACAAAGTCCAGGAGTCAGGAATTGGTATGGCTTTAAATTATCAATATATTTTTAAGTTTGCACTGAAATGACTAACTTTATCTAAGTATTCCACACTGAATAGTGACAATATGTCTTATTGATATCAGCTGAAAGCAGAGTTCGGGCCTTACATTTAACTCCAGGAAGTACAGACAAAATAAAGAAAGATAGGAGCAGCAGCATTCCTCGAAGACCTGATTCATCTGTCAAACCATCTACTCCAGTACGACGTATGAAGCCCGTCGATAGTCCTTCCACAAATTTAAAAACAGCAGAACGCAGTTTCGGACAGCGGGACATCCAATTATTATCTCGTACAGGGATGGCTATTAATTCTTCGATCACTAAAAAAGCTCCGCCTACAGAGTCGGTAGCTGTAAAAGATATTTACACTACATCACAGGCTGTTTCTGTGCCTGTTGTTGTTCCTAGAGACATTTTGGAGGACAAATCAGCAGGCAGTATTCATAGAGGAATTGGAGGCAGAACTGCAGTCCCAGATGATTTTTACAGTCCAGTGCACTTGAGAAAACGTTTACCTAGTGGCGGTACTAGTGATAGTGTCAGCTCAGTAAAATCCATGCTCGCTGAGCCTGATGTTTGCTCGGAGGGTTTGTCTGGGTTAAAGTTCTCCTTTGGACTAACTCCAAATGACAAGAAAGAAGAATCTGACAGTACTGATAAAGGAGAAATTAGACAAATAGCAGAAAAGATGGACAGAATAGTATCATTTGATCATCCGGTGCAGTCAAATGATGACAAGGGTATTGCTCTTTCTTTGTTCTTAAGCATTCAAGCGCTGCGCTTTTGTTCATTTTGGGAATTTAACATTATAGCTCTTTTTACAGCAGCATATGAATCACCGTGCTCGACGACAGGAACAGCCAGGGTCAAATATGTTAGAGGAGGTGTGTGTGTGTGTGTGTGTTAACTGATGTTATCTAGAGCAATCTTGTATCCATGCTGAAGCTTGAGGTTACTTGGCGTAAATATAATTTTCTAATGATATTGTCAACTCCTTTTGCAGTTGCTGTGCCGTTAGGAAAAACTAAGTCTCTTGTTGAGAGATTTGAAAAGAGAGAGAGTTCTAGCATTGATTGTTCATCGCCAACTGGCTCTAGTGGTGATCATACAATGAAAGCTGATAGCCCTCCCACCAGTTCGGTATGCTTTCATGTTTTTACTGTAGTTAACTTTCAATATGATTTTATCCTTATGAATCATCAGTATAGTGATATTAAGAAATGCTTAATGTTTAAGAATCATCAGTATAATGGTATTAAGAAATGCTTAATGTTTAAGAACTCCTTACATAGTTACTGTATCAAATCCCTACTATAATCTTATTTGGTTCTCAATTAGTAACTCATTCATACTTTGTCTGTGCATGTTATGATAATGTAAAATCCAGAACCCCTACTAGTCATTTGGAGATACAAGTAATGATGAAATTTGTTCAGAAACCAGATATAAGATATATGGGGGCAGTCACTGACTTAATGTGTTCTGGAGTTACAATATGCTAGTATGTGGCTGGAAGGCTGCAGCTATAGTATTTTCAGAAACTTTGTACAGAATACAAGTCAAACAAATATGGCTATACTATTGTTATATTTTTATCATTTGATGTTCTCTAGTGTTTGTGATTCATTTTGCTGTTCAACTTATTTGGTTTGCGGTGATTGTAATTGACAGGCAGAAGCAAGTCGCACATATGAAAGGGACTTGCCAACAGTGGACGAGATGACGACTCCAATCGATTTGGTGCGGAACCATGATGAATTTATAAATGTTGTAAAATCTCGGTTGACAAAGCTAGAGGTGATTCTTCTGTTCTTTACTTGCGAACATCTGTTTCTTACTAGCCCAGGGAACTTACGCCCAACAAGTTGATGGGAAATCTTGCAAACCCTGTCAAGTTTATTTGTTGATGCAGCTTGTGGATGTCAACAGGTTTTCTGTTATTCTTCTATGAACTTTAGCTTGATTTACTTGGGGCTTGAGAAATGACCCATATGGAAGCAACAAATTTGAAACATAGGTTGACAATATCAGTGCAGGTTACTAGAAATCAAAATACATGCCATGCACCCTAAAAGAATTCACACCCATCTGGCGAAATCCATGTACTTGGAGATGTGGGAAATTGGCTTAACTTTCTGTAGTTTCTTCAGTACAAAGCTTAACATTAACATCTGCCTACGATTGAATGACATGTGATAAATGTAGGTTGTTATCCTTCCCGTCTTGTAGGCTGTGTATGGAATGAGTACATGTTCTTGTAAAGTGATGTTGATTAGTCACCTAAAAATTAACGCTAGCGTGTTCTTGTAAAGTGTTGCCAATATAATACTAGTACTAACCCTAATGTGTTCAGATGATGCGGCATGTCTTTAACCTAAATGGCATCAAAGGAGCAATTGCTGCGGTCGCAAAGTTGCCTGATATTGCTGTAAGTTTTTCCTCAGATGTATGATGGTTGTACATGATGCTCTTCACATTGTTTTTAGCTACTAATTGTTGAATTCGAACAGGTTCAAGCTGATGTTGTTAGTACTCTCAAGGGAAAACTTGGTCTTTTCAACCTAGATATTTTCTCAAGCCTTCTGCCTGTTCTTGCCGGGTTACTGAACAGCAAAACTGAAAGGTAGCACACCTGATAGTAACACAGATGCACATGTACCCATGCATGCCCAAGAAGATGCCAATGCTATATCTTGCAAATCTGTACTGTTGAAACAGAAGATCATCTTTATTTTTCAGACCCATATAATTATCCTGCAATATGTGAATGAATGCTTATATTGGCGTGGCATCCTACTGTAGGAAATGGTTAGTTTAGCAGTAATTATTGTGTCTTCTAATTACGTCTGCCTCAAATTTGCAGGCATGCTATTGTTGCTTTGGAGATGTTATTGGATCTTATAAAGATTTTTGGACCGGTTATTCATTCAACATTGTCAAGTAGTTCACCTGTTGGAGTAGATCTTCAAGCTGAACAGAGGTATGCTCAACTTCACTCGGGGAAGGGAGCTGAGTGTTGCTAAGAGTAAGAGGGATGCTGCAAAAACTTGTGTTGCTACAAGCCTACCAATGAACTCGGTGTGAGGTGGCAAGTTGGCCCCGAACATATGCTTTGCTGAAACTGTTGCCCTAAATGAATGAACTGCAGCCATCAGTAGCATATTACCCTAGCTGGGGCCTTTATATTCTTTAGAGATATATATATAACCAGGGCAGTAACCAATTTGTGTGATGCCATGTGCAGGTTGCAGCGTTGCACCCGGTGTTTTAACCATTTGCAAAAGATTGTGCAAGCTCTACACCCGTTGATGATGTAATCCCTCTCCCTCCCTTCACCAGACACCACTAGTTGTTTTCATGCGTGCTCTTCGGCTTCTTTTGTGTACCACTGCAACCAGCGAACGTTGCGCTACGATGAGCAACAAGCGTATCTGACGGTCTGCAATTTTGCTTCTTCTCTTGTTCTTGTTGGCGCAGGCGGAGCGGCCAGTCGGCGCAGCTTGCTCAAGAGCTGAACATGTCTTTGCAAGACCTGGTGGTCTTCTGAAACTAGCCGGAAGCTCAAGTTCACACCGTCAGAGTAGATACCATTCTTTTTGTTACAGAAAATGGAAGTGCCATATGGTGGCAGGGCGGGGTAGCCTGTTGTGGTGGTGGTGTAATTGTTTGTTGTTCCCTGTTGTACATGTGAGCGAGTGAGCGAGAGAGCTTGGCTGTTCATCAGTCTGTAATTAGCCCCCATTTTACTGCATGGACAGCCCCGGACGGACGACCGAGGGAGTGGAGATGAATGAATGGATGGAAAAAACGCCTGTTAGTTTACTCCTGTGTTCGGTCCGGTCTTCGCTTTCTGTGGTGCTGGTTCGCTCCACCATTAGCCGTGTGGTAGAAGTTTTGAAGACAACCATCTCTCCTCCAGAGGTTGGTACGGTACGGCCGTTTGACCGTTCCTTTGTTTAGCATGAGATCACCAGCTGGTTGCCTAGGACTGCTCGTTTGAATATCGTCCTAAAAATGTGAACTCATACTTGGCTGCTAAGGAAACAATATTGTGAAGTCTACCACCAGCTGCCCGCTGTTTTTCCCCCCTCCTTCCTAAAACTCAGCTCTAAGAAAGTGGGATTCTGTGTAATAAGTTGTTGAATATCAACAACTCTGTAAAAAATAATCAGAGAAGTTTAATGTGCTGTGTAAAAAATAATCACAGAAATTTAATGTGCTGTGTAAAAAATAATCACATAAATCTAAACATTTCTTGGCGTTTCCAGGTTAGGCTGCATTGCAATGTTGGGTTAGGCTAGGCCCCATCTAATGCTCCCTTTTGTCCCTGAATGCCATGTCAGAACAAATCAGTCTTCCACTTCCTTCCAGTCCCGCTTGCCCCACCGGGCCCCACCTGTCGGCCACTGAACCCGTACGCGCTAACCCATCGGCAGTCAGGTTTGCACGGCGGCAGGAGGGCCGGAGTATAAAATAACCCCCCTCAACAAATCCACATTCCAAACCCACCGCGTCACGTAAATAACCCCCCCGTCTGTCGAAAAAGCCGAAGTCCAAAGCAGTTGGTCGCTCGCTCCCTCGCCCGCCACCGCCGCGTTGGACTTTTCCCTCGCCGGAGAAACCGCCGCGACCACAGCCGCAACCGCCGCCACCGCCTCCGGAGGAGGAGGAGGAGGAGGAGTAGTACTACCAGGGAGGGAGGAGGCCATGGCGGGGAGGTACGACCGCAACCCCTTCGACGAGGATGACGTCAACCCCTTCGCGGTGAGTCCCCTACTCCGTTTCTACTTTCTAGCCGCCTCGCCGTGGTACCCCGCGCCGGGCCTCCGCCCGCGCCGCAGTCCGCCTTGTCTTCGGCTCCCTGGGTCGCGTCGGTGTCGAATTTGGTCCGGATCGCCGGTGGAGTTGCTTGTTGCGGGTTTTCGCCTATAACCCCGCGTTTCGCCGGTCTGGGTGCTCCGGTGGATCTGGTCGAATCACTGCCTTCAGGGCTAGAGAGGGATTCGATGGATGGATGCGTTTATACGCGTGTCCTGTTGTGCTGGCCGATCGCGAGCGGGAGGGGCGGCGGCTGCCGGTTTCTTCCGTGTTTGTTTTGGGGTTTTTCAGGGTAGAAATGATTCTTAGACACGAAATTGGTACTTGAACTGGGATGAATTTTGTCTAATTACAACGATGCGGTTCACTAGATGTGCAGAGCTTTGGAATTGGGCGATTTGCTCTTCCAAATTATATGCCGCATACGACAAAATGGAAAAATACCTCGTACCATTTTGCTGGCTGAATATTGTTTTAGTACTGGCGTTCAGTGTGACCAGTGCTAGTCGCAGTTTGGCGGGTGTCTATGGATCTGCTGCCGCTGAATGTGTTCCATTTAATACAAGGATCGTTATCTATACCAGCAGTTCGGATTGCTGTGCCAACTTTCACTGACAAGGATATCTGATTGTTCATAAGCTTCTAATAAACTGGTAGTTTTTCTCTTTTAACTATTGTTTGGCTGATTTTCCGAATGTATGATGTTCTGCAGGGAGGAGGTGTACCCCCTGCTTCTAATTCTCGGATGCCACCCCTTCCTCACGAACCTGCTGGATTCTATAATGATCGCGCTACCGTGGACATACCTCTTGGTTCATCGAAGGTGCCTGTGCTTCAATTGAGCTTGTCAATTCTTTACTATTTATTTTGAAATTGATTACGGAATTCTTTCACAGCGTGTCCTTGATTGCTTATGCCGTGTGTATATTATTTTCAAATGTAGGACTTAAAGCAAAAGGAGAAAGAACTGCAGTCGAAGGAGGCTGAGCTTAACAAACGGGAAAGAGTAAGTGTCTTTTGCTTGAAACTTGAAATTCCAGCTTTACACTCACATCACATGTTATCCTGTATGTCATTGGTATTGCTTTGTTCAAACCATTGTTTTGTGAATTCAGAAGTTGTTTCGTACTTTTGTAATTCATTCAGTGATCAAAATCCCCTATGCTAAAGTAAAACCTTAAGTTCTCCTGGATGAAACTTTGTGAAGCTTCCCAGATACTGACAAATCGTTGTGCTTAGATACGTAGACGGATATAGCCAACAAAGTTTATATGGCCTTGTCCAGAGTTGTTGAAGTAGTAACCATGATGCAGCATGAAAACTGGTGTGCTGTGATTGACATGGACTTACCTAAGGCTCCCTTATAGTCATTACTGCTCTAACTATTTATCAGATCATTGACAGTGCTTGCCTCATGCCATTGTGAGATAAAACCATGGGATCTCCATGCCGACGCTTATAGCCCTATGAGGTGAAGGGTGGTTGTGCTTGTGGAAACTGCCTATTGTATGAAAAGGTTTCATATAGCCATCATCTCTTCATTAACCCAGACAATCAGATGATAGAATTCTTATGAATGTACAATATGCTGAATCAAGAGTTAGCAGTGGTTCTACGTAATCAGTAAAACCTTTCTCGACAACGTTTCACACGATTGAAACAGCCCAGATGTGCTCATGAGCATTCACTTGTAATTCTTTCTTTAACTGTACTATCTGATATTTATATCTTCCTGAAACCAGGAACTTAAAAGAAGGGAAGAAGCTGCAGCTAGAGGTATATAGTTCTTCCTATAGCTGATGCAGTTATTCTTTTGTATATTTCTAGCCATGATATTGATGGGAAGAGGTAGTAGGTAAGATATTGGCCCAAGTTGATTAATGAGGATATTTATCTGGAAACTTGTTCGGGTCAACTTCAGTTAAGACCTTGAATGATTCAGTGAAAGGCTATTCCAGCTAATTTTATCATTATGTTCTTGTTGTTACAGTTCCATATTTCACTACCCTGCCTCTCAGTGTCATACTATCTTCCTTTTCATTTGCAGCTGGTATTGTCATTGAAACGAAAAACTGGCCACCATTTATGCCCATCATTCATCATGACATTTCAAATGAGATACCAATCCACCTACAAAGGATGCAGTACCTTGCATTTTGTTCATTGTTGGGTAAGTGTTAGTTCTTCTTTCACCTCTCCTCAAAATATCTTCTAAACCATCATTTTGTAGATCTTTACTTCTATTCAAATATTGCAAACACTATTTTTACTGGGGAACTCACATTCACATTCACACTGTCCAACTAATGCACTTACTTCACCTGGATCAATGTGATTGCCATATCATCTCCTAGGGTGTGAATCTGCCATTGTCTTCTGAGAAGTGGCATGAGAAAACAAGATTAGTATTTCAAAACTTCGACAAACTTCCCTTATGTTGACAATCTGTACTTTGTAACTATGAATTATTACGAAAATATAATTCTTCTAATCTAAATATTATTACTAAAGCATAAGAATTTGGTGATTTCTCTTCTTTTGGATTGGGCTTAAACTTCCAATGGTCATGAAAAAATGTCCAAAAATGCTAGTAATCAAATAATGGTGGGCCCAGATGGGCAGCAGATATTAGAATTAGGAGATTCGAGTCTAAGATTGTCATGCATTGGCACAGACTGCTGATTTCTGCAAATTTTGATGCCATGCAGGATTGACGTTATGCCTCTTTTGGAACATCATTGCAACTACCGCAGCATGGATTAAAGGGGCAGGTATGGCTTAGTAGTACCTTACTGTCTACATCTTGTGGATCAACTGCTATCTGCCCTGGCACCTGAAACAAGTCTGGCGGTTCCTTTCGATAGGTGTTGTCATCTGGTTGCTAGCAATTATCTACTTCATCTCTGGTGTCCCTGGGGCCTATGTGCTATGGTATCGGCCGCTTTATAATGCAATGAGGTTTGTGTACATGCATATGCTTTTGTTATTGTTACAAGTCGCTTCTTTGTATATCTTTACACCTTATGCTACTGAATTCATGTTACAGGACTGAAAGCGCTCTGAAGTTTGGATGGTTTTTTCTGCTGTACTTGGTAACAACCTTGCCATCTAGTATTACTCTTCTAGACTAAATGGTTTCCACATCTGTGATGCATTTGTTGATATTTGATTCTTTTTTTTGCGACGAGTTAATATTCCATTCATTGCTAATTATCTTTGCCCCTTCAAGATCCATATAATATTCTGCATCTGGTCAGCTGTGTCTCCCCCATTTCCTTTCAAAGGAAAATCTATCGCGTAAGTGTTACATCACTTATGTATAATTGAAATTACTTCTGTTTGTGCCATGCGTAAATATGGTAGTTATTCACTTATTCTGGCTAAGCTGCAAAGTTTGGGCACACTGAATGCATCGTAAAAGAATTTTGTGTGTTGTTATTCTTCAGTATCTTTACCATACACAAGTATTTACTGATAAAAGGCACCACCACCAAAGCCGTTGTGGCTCCTTTGTTACATATGCTGGATGTGCTGACTAAGGGGTACACACCCTACTACTTACTAAACTGAGAGAAATTACTTAGTGGGTGGGATCAGTCTCTACAAAGATTTCGATTGACAGTCGGTACACGACCGAATTGATGCAGGTAATACTACCCGAAAGAATAGCAACACCACCTACTGAGTACATTGTCACGTATAGCACTTCCAGCACTGATTAGGTGGTGTTGCTATTTTTTAGGGTAGCATTGCCTGGATCAATTCGGTTGCTGCTCTAAACTGTTCATGTTAAGAATACTTAGCTTTCAGACTATCCGCTCTCTTTTCAAATCATAGATAGGTGGGTATCATCTCTCCTCTTATCTACAACTCATTCACATTATCTAACTTTGCCTGTCGTATTGTTTCTGGTGTTACAGTGGGTTTTTGCCGGCAATTGACGTCATAGGCAGCAACGCTATTGTGGGGGTAAGTATTTCTGTCTATCTCGAGTTAATTTGGCATGACTGCTTTTCTGGGTGTTTGATGAAGCATTTTCCACACCCGCGTCTCCTCTGTAGATTTTTTCTTTTTGAGCTAGTCTCCCCTGTAGATGACTAGTCATTTACGTTGTCTCTACATTTTCTCCTGGCAGATATTTTACTTTGTTGGATTCGGACTGTTCTGCCTTGAAGCACTGCTCAGCATTGTGGTCATCCAGGTGCGTTTATGCATAACCTTTTGCCGTGCCTTCTGTTTCCTTCCCCGAGAGAGATTATCATTCTGAACTTGGTCGCTCTGAATGCAGCAAGTATACATGTACTTCCGTGGAAGTGGAAAGGCTGCTCAGATGAGGCAAGAGGCAGCACGTGGTGCTATGAGATCTGCCTTCTGATAGAGCGGTCTCGCTGATGAATGGATGAGAATAGGATGTGCCAGTCGGTGATGGCGTCTTGTCTTTGTACATCCCTATACATATCTGTGGGTGGCTGAGAGAGAATACCTGTAGCTATAGATCTTCTTGCATTCTTGTAATATATAGGAGTGCTTCATTCCTTTTCTAGGCCCCAGATCCATGTGCTTTATATGTAGCTTAATCTTTTGGGAGATACAACTTCCACCATCACTATTCTGACGAGCTTGATTGCAATGTCACTATATTATGGTTAATGTATGTGAAGTGCTAAAACTAGTTTATTTCGCCCCATGCAGAGCTGAAGCATGTTATTGCATTACATCACACTATATATCTAGTCTGTTAAATATAGCCATTACTACCTTTAAACAAATGAAAATGGGAGCCGAATCTATAACTCTGACGTGAGCTGAGATTTCATACCCTACTTTTCGGGGCGCCTCTCTCTACTTGCCGCTCATGGCAGGCTGCGCCTGCTGCACCTTGGCTCCGAAGCCGCACTTCCTGGTGAGGATGCTCCACGACCTCCTGGGCTTCCCGAGCCGCCGGATCTCCTGCTTCATGCTCACGCACTCCTTCTCCAGCTCCGACACCCGCGCCTTCACGTTGCTCATGGTCTCGCTTCCCTTCCCCTCGGGCGTCACCATCACCACCTCCTCGTCCTGCCCGGCCGCGCCGCTGTCCACGACGGCACTGCCCTTGGGGACGATGGCGCCGGCGTTGCCGGGGTGGTGCAGGTGCGCGCCGTCGGTGGCCGTGGCGGCGTTGTCCGACACGAAGAACCACCCGGCGATGGAGGTGCGGAGGCGGAGCTGCTCGAAGAAGAGCACCTGCACCACCACCCGCAGCGGCAGCCGCTCGTTCTGCGCCGCGTGCGTGCACGCCTCCAGCGACAGCTTCTGGCAGTTCATCAGCCGGCACAGCTGCTCCCGCTCCGACTCCGACAGCCAATGGTGCGACTGCACGCACGCGCCTCAAATGTTAAGTAAGAGAGAGAGAGACAGTGATGAAATGCCAACGGAGCAAACCGGGATGTGCCTGTGAGTTGTTGTGACCTTGAGGTATATGTCCATGGCGCGGTAGATGCCGTCGTCGACGGTCCGCGCGTAGTCGGGCACCACGGCGGCGAGCGCCTGGAACTTGGCCAGCTTCAGGTTGGTGTCCGGCGCTACCTCCGCGAGGTACCTGTCCATGAGCTTGGCCACCATGGCGATCGGAGCCACGGCGGGCGGCGTCGCGGCGTGGGGCAGCCCCAGCTGGCTCCCGTCCTCTGCCAGCGCCGGCGACGTGTACCCGGTCCCCAGCCCGTCCATGGACGACATGAAGTAGTCCAGTATCCTCTGCACGCAGTCGATGTCGTACAGCGTGTCCACGGTGTAGCCGAGGTTGGGCACCAGCAGGTCCTCGAGGCTGGCGTCCTCCAGCTGCGCGCCGATGCGCCGCTCCAGGTTCTCCCGGCACAGCGGGCTGGCGTGGAGGAGCATGGCCGTGCGGAGCAGCCCCAGCAGGAACTTGGTGGAGGTGACGCCCTTCTTGGTCGGCAGCAGCGCAATGATCTCCTCCAGGAAGTACCTCTGGTCGCCGTCGGACGTCCCGGAGAGGCTGGCGGTGGCGGAGCGCGGGGTGGCGCTACGGCTGCCGGTGATCCCGCCGTAGTCGCCGCCGAAGCTGGCGTTGCTGAAGCTGGCGCTGCGGTTCAGGCCCGGGAGGAGCCGCCCCGCGTAGAACATGATGGCGCCAGCGATGCTCTCGGCGCGCATGCTCTTGGCCTCCATGGCCTGGATCAGCCGCTTGAACATGGGCAGGCTCAGGAGCGACACGTCCTCGTACCACCAGTCCATGGCCGAGGCCGCGGCCGCTGCCGCCGCGCCGCGCGGCGTGTCGCCCGAGCCGATGCCGTTCCAGAGCGCGTCCCTGTCGAGGCTGGCGCCCTTGGCGCCGTGGGTGGACCAGGCGGCGGCGTCGGAGGCGCAGGCCTTGGAGGCGAGCGCGGTGATGCAGCGGGGGACGATTTGGAGGTCCTCGGCGGCCGGGAGCACGCCCTCGCAGGTCTCCAGCGCCCTGACGGAGTCCTTCCAGTTGGCGAGCACGTCGGCGAGGAACGACTCGGCCTGCGCGATCAGGTTGCCCTCCGCGTAGTCGTCCGTCATGCCCAGGTACTCGGCGGCGCACCGGAGGCACACCACGTTGAGCGCGTTGAGCTCGATCTTGACGTCGTAGCAGAAGCGCGCCGCCAGCTCGAAGGCCTTGGCGCCGCCCGGGATGTCGTCCAGCTGCAGCGTGCACATGCCGCCGCCGTCCGACGGCGGCTGGTACTCGCTGATCAGACGCTGCAGCACGCCGCTCCGGCTCAACAGCGGGAACTGCATGCTCATAATGACGATCGATGCACCGTTAGTTAGTCACATTAACGCGCGCAATCGATCGGTTTGTGCAGTTCAGTTGGTGAATGCGAAATGTGACGGCGACACACTCGATCGTGCTAACCTTGTGGAGATAAAAGGACATGTCTCCTACTTCCACGACGACATCGCTCTCGAGCTCGGTCATGCATCTCCTGGGCAAAAGTCAAGATGGATGGATCACGTAAACATCTGGAATTCTCATCAAATTTGCATCCGCGTACGTGCTCGTGATCTTGAAACTGCGACTGATAAGTAAGTACTCCCTCTGAGTTTACGGAGGGAGTAGTATATGTGGATCGGATCTTAGATCGACGTGAACGATACTGAATGGGATAAACCTATGTGATGTGTTTTGTGGCGCGCGATAATTTCTTCAGCGCATGCATAAGATTGGACTTGATTCGCCAATGGAACTTACCTTACAATGGGCATTACATTTTCTGCACAATCGATATCCGCCATGCTTACCAACTAAATTTGTTATCCCTCGCATATGCAAATTGCAAAAAAAAAAAAAAAAGAAGAAGTTTGATTTGCCATGGGCAAATTCCGAACGTTCAGGACTCATTGGCGTCTGAATACGCGTGATGATATGAACCCACGATAAAAAATGGAACCAGTTGTGCCTAGAGAAAGATTCACATGTACCAAACCATGTTCGATCAAACATTGAGAGTAATCCTGCATCTCCAAGTGCAGCGCGCGGCTTAGAAAAATCAACCGAGGGAGAGGAGTAATCAACTAATAGGAGTATATGAAATGAGGAAGGGGGGTAACCATGTGAGGCCTTCGAGGACGAAGATATCTGGCTTGGAACCCAGCTTCATGGTCACCATCTTCTTCTCCCAGAATTATTCCACCTAGGCCAGTGGATCTAGGCCTTCTTCTCCCGGACCGAGCCAGGCGCCACCCCGGGGTAGGGTCTCTGTCTAGTGGATCTGGAGGGTACTCTTTTGAGGAAACGGAAGCCGAGGGAAGGGAGCGAGCAAGGATTTATTGTCAGGAAGAGATGGCGGTTGCGCATGCGGGAGGGAGGGAGGGAGGGAGTACGTAGCTGAGGTGGCGCACGCTGCAGGCAGATGCGCGATAGGACGAGCGACATGCATGCACGGACAGTTCAAAGCTTGGCCCTGGTCCAAAGGGGAGAGGTATGACTTCGCAGCTTGCATGTTCCATTTTTTATCTTTTGTTAATCTTCCTATAAGTCATGGGGCCTACCTGTCAGTCGATTGTGCATCGCGTTCTTGGTCCATCCAGTGGCGAATCTAGGAAGAAAATAAAGCGTTGGCTTAAAATTGATTTGTTTTTACAGAAAAACAATCAATTTATTTATCTTCAAACATGGTAATACAACGAACAACAGAAATAATAAAAATTATATTCAAATTCATAAACCACCTAGCGACGACCAGAAGCAATGAAGCGAACCGAAGATGCCCCACCATCATCGCCCCTCCTTCACCGGAGCGGGCAAAACTTGTTCTAGTAGACAGTCGGGAAGTCGTCGTGCTAAGACTCCATAGGACCACCAGAACAGCAACTGCCGCCGATGAAGAGTAGTGTAGATCGGAAGGATCCAACATGAAGACACACGAAGGAGGCGAACGACGAACTGATTCGAGCAAATCCATCAAAAACAGATCCGTCGGAGATACACCTCCACACGCCCGCCGATAATGCTAGATGCACCACCGAATGGGGGCTAGGCGGGAAGAACGCCTAAACAGGACAAAAATCCTACAAAACTCAAAAACACATCTAGAAACGAAGCCCTCTCACCAAGGGCCGGAATCCACCGCACCCCATGGCTCTAAGGCCACTGATGAGGGGCCCGGCTCTCCTGCGGTGTTCCCAGCAGGAATTATTGTGCAGGTCCAATGAATGTCTGCCACGTGTCCTTGTGGGCCAACAGCTTCAATCAATTTGAATTTACTTTGTTTCCCTTCTTCTTACCCCTTCAGTCCTTCGTCAAGCTGGCTACGCGCGCGGCAGCGGACGGGCCTTTGCTCGCCCGCCAGCGATGTTGCCAGGTCGTCCAACTGCTCGTTTTTTCTTTTCCTCGCCACTACAAGAAGAGCCCTTCGCCGCCGGCGTCTCCTAGCTCGTGCGTGGTCACTGTTATCAGTTATCACTTCGTGCCGCCCGCGGCCCGCGGTCCTTTCTCCCACCGCGCATCACCGTCGTCGTGTTAGAGTTATATTTATGTTGGCTTTTGGCCTTTTGCATTCTGGCATTTGGCCTCCCCTGTACATGTACATATGATGGCGTTTTGCCTCCTGATAATGATAAGTTGCTATTCCTAACATGGTATTAGAGCTTAGGTTCTTTTTTCTCGCACGCGCAACTCGTGCTACCATCTAATCCCACGCCGCGCCGCTGTTTTTCCGGCCAGCGCTGCTGCCTTCTCCCCGTTGTTCAGGCTGCTTTTAGTCCGCTGCCGATCGGGACTTGGCTGGCGCTCGATCTGCAAGGCTTGATCCACTCCGTCTCCAACTATTGCATATCCAAAGGACTAGGCTCCTCACGATCGGGCCGCTCTGGCTGATTCGGATCGAAACAACTGCTCCAGCAGCCGGCTTGCTCCACTTCGTCTCTGATCTCGCCGCCCGCTCTTCCGTTTGGTGTGCCGCCACCGCGGCCCGCCCGTCTGGTGCGCCGTCGCCGCCACCCGCCCTCCTGGTGCGGCGCCGCCGCCCGCCCGGCCTGGCCGACGCCGTCCATCCTTCTTCTTGCCCCGCGCGCGATCTGGTCGAGCGCCAGCCGCCATTGCCGCCTGCTGCTCTCCCGAGCCGGTTACCCATCTCACACTCGTGTGCGTTGACTGCAGGGTCATGAATCGATCCACCTGCCTGTGTGCGTGCTCCCTGCTTCCGTTCTGCTTTGGGCTGCTGGTGGGCTTCGTTCGGCTCCCTGGCTTGACGCCCTGAAGTTCTGTCGTTGTGAAAAAAAAGTAAAAAAAAAGAAAAAAAAAGAAAAAAAAGGAAAAAGAGAGGTACAATGCTTTCGTCGGGTACGCCTCCCCCTCGCTGCCCGGTGTTTATTGATGGTGTTCCTTATATTGATCCCATCTCGCACATGCGCTTTTCCTCGGTGCTTGGTGCTCGCCCGCTTGAGGTGGTGTTTGTCGCTCTACATCAGCACCTTTTGCGACATCCACTTGTGCTGCTGGCCGCTCTACATCGGCTCCTTCGGCAGCTGCACCGCCTCCTCTGGCCGCTTCTCTGCATGGTGATGGTCGTTCTTCATCGACTCTTTCCATGACTTCCGCACCTGGTGATTGTCGCCCCACGTCGACTCCTCCCGCGGCTTTCGTGCGCGGCGGTGATCGCTCTGTGTCGACTCCCCCAGTGGTTTCCACATGCGGCTCTGGGTCGACTCGCTACTCTCGGTCGACTTTACATGCGGCTTTCATGAGGGGTGGCGACTGCTCATCGTCGACAAGTGTTTCTACCTCAACCTCTGCCCTGTCGCTGTCTGCACGTGAGATTGCACAACTACGTTGCCTGCTTGATGCTTGGGATTCTTCACCAACAGTTTTTGCAGATTCTGTGACTGACTCTTCTGGCAATGAGAAACCACCTTCTACCCATTCAGGTACATCCCCATGGATTCTTGATACTGGAGCATCTTTTCATATGACGTATGATTCTTCCACTTTGACCTCTGTTCGACCTGTCGAGTCTCCTGTTCGCGTTCTTACGGCTGATGGCACTCCCCTCCCTGTAGCAAGTCGAGGCACTCTTAGCACTTCTTCATTTCATGTTCCCTCTGTAGCTCATGTTCCTCGACTTATCATGCAGCTCATATCTGGTGGTCAGATTGTAGATTCTAGTTGTAGGGTCATTCTCGACTTTGATTCGTGTTCTGTTCAGGATCGTCACACGGGCGCTCTGCTTGGTGCTGGCCCTCGACGCTCTGATGGTCTCTGGGAGCTTGACTGGCTTCGTCTTCCCTCCGCTGCCACCGCCGCTAGTCTCACGGCCCCTGTTACTGCATCTACCAGCTCTTTTCAACAGTGGCATCATCGTCTTGGCCATTTATGTGGTTCTCGTCTCTCCTCTTTGGTTCATCGCGGTGTTCTGGGGTCTGTCTCCGGTAATGCTTCGTTGGATTGTCTAGGTTGTAGGCTTGGCAAGCAGATTCAGCTACCTTATCCTCATAGTGAGTTAGTGTCCGAGCGCCCTTTTGATCTTGTTCACTCTGATGTTTGGGGTCCGGCTCCCTTCACTTCTAAAGGGGGTCATCGTTACTATATTATCTTTATAGATGATTTTTCTCGGTACACATGGATCTATTTCATGTCTTCCCGTAGTGAGGTCTTATCTATATACAAAAAATTTGCTGCCATGGTTCATACCCAGTTTTCTACTCCTATTCGCGTTTTCCGTGCAGATTCAGCTGGTGAGTATATCTCCCATGCTCTGCAAGGATTCCTTGCTGAGCAGGGTACTCTTGCTCAGTTCTCTTGTCCTGGTGCTCATGCTCAGAATGGTGTGGCTTAGCGCAAGCATCGTCACCTTCTTGAGACGGCATGTGCGATGATGATCGCTGCCTCTCTTCCGCCTCACTTCTGGGCTGAGGCTGTTACCACTTCCACCTATCTCATCAACATTCAGCCATCTCCTGCTCTACAGGGTGGTATTCCTCTTGAGCGTCTTTCTGGTCGTTCTCCTGATTATTCGGCGCTTCGCTTGTTTGGTTATGTTTGCTATGTTTTGCTTGCCCCTCGTGAACGCACCAAACTGACTGCTCAGTCTGTTGAGTGTGTCTTTCTCGGATACAGTGATGAGCATAAGGGCTATCGGTGTTGGGATCCTGCCAGTCGCCGGATGCGTATTTCCCGGGATGTCACCTTTGATGAGTCTCGTCCCTACTACCCTCGGCCATCCTCCTCGGCCTTTTCCACGGAGGACATCTCTTTTCTTACCTTTCCGGATACACCTCCCTTTGTTTCCAGTATTCCTACTCCTCATCCCACTATGCAGATTCGACACCGTCCTCTCCTATGGTTTCTTCTCCTCCCTCATCGCATGAATCACCACCTTCATCACCGATACCTTCCTCTTCTCCACCTTCATCACCGATACGTTCCCCGTCTCCACCTCCAGTGATTCCACCTCTCCCATCCTTTCCTTTCCATTATACTCGTCGTCAATGTGTTATGGATGAGTCTACTGATGTGCCCTCTACTTCTGATGTGTCGTCTTCCTCCTCTCAGCCGACTTATGGTCTTCGTTCTCGGCCTTGTCCACCTCCTGATCGATATTCTCCTTCTCGCTATGGTCTTTCGACCGTTGTAGAGCCGGCTTCTTATCGAGATGCTATTGTTCATCCTGAATGGCAGTTTGCCATGGCAGAGGAGATTGCTGCTCTTGAACGCACCGGCACATGGGATCTAGTTTCTCTTCCTCCTCGTGTTCGCCCCATCACTTGTAAGTGGGTCTATAAGATTAAGACTCGCTCTGATGGTTCTCTTGAGCGTTATAAAGCTCGTCTTGTGGCTCGTGGCTTTCAGCAGGAGCATGGTCGTGATTACGATGAGACCTTTGCTCCTGTGGCCCATATGACCATTGTTCGCACACTTCTCGCCGTGGCCTCTGTTCGCCACTGGTCCGTGTCTCAGCTCGACGTTAAGAATGCTTTTCTTAATGGTGAGTTGCGTGAGGAAGTTTATATGCAGCCACCACCTGGGTATTCAGTTCCTGATGGCATGGTCTGTCGTCTTCATCGCTCTCTCTATGGCCTTAAGCAAGCCCCGCGTGCCTGGTTTGAGCGTTTTGCCTCGGTTGTCACTGCAGCTGGTTTTTCACCCAGTGTCCATGATCCAGCACTGTTT